TAATTTTAATTTGTTATATAACTATTCATTGTTTGCATTGTTCACATTTTTATAAGCCGCTCTGAGTCCCCTTGGGGAGATGAGGCAGGATATAAATAAAGTTGCTGTTGTTGTTGTTGTTGTTGTTGTTTTTGTTGTTGTTGTTGTATATCTCCCTGCATAGCTAAAGGATGGACAAAAATAGCTTTATTGTTGTGGTTCCTTCCCAAATGATCATGTAGGATCCACCCAATATATACTACAAAGATTTTGGATTGGAGGGAAATTAGAAACACAATGATGGAGCTTCCTATTTCTGCATTAATTCACTTGAATAGGAATTTCAAAGGCTTGCAGCATCCTCTGCCTTCATGCATGCATGCAAGGGATGCAGGAGGAGGCGGTTGCCATGACAACCTCTCCTCGATTGGATCTGGGTACCGCTCCGCTGGCTCGTCATCAATGCTGAGAGGAGGAGCAGCTGCCATTTGCAAAAAGAGCAACCATTACTATCCCTTTCCCTCCATTAAGCAGGCATCCCATCTATTTTGCAAAAATTATATTCTCCGAAGTCAAGCAATCCCCACCGCAGAGACTCTGAGAGTTGCATCTCTTTCTGGCTTTTGACTTCCTTGCACCATTTTATCCTCCAGCCGTGATGATGATGATAATTCTATTTATTTATACTTCTCTCTCTTGGAGTTGGACTCGCTCACAGCATTAAAGACAATTTAAAACCTACATTATTCTTATTATTATTCCAGCCATGAGGATGATAGTTATTTTTATTTGGACTTGGAGCAGCTCACAACATTATTATTATTTAAAGCCTTCAATATTATTATTGTTATTAATGATTAATAATAATTAATAATGGAGAAATATTACTATTATTAACAGTAATAATTCTCCAACCATGGTGATGATGATAGTTATATTTATTTATACTTCCCTCTTTCAGAGCAGCTCACAACATTAAAGACAATACAATTTAAAACCCACAATATTATTATTATTATTATTATTATTATTATTATTAATTTTATTTCTCTAGCTGTGAAGATGGTGATAGTTACATTTATTTATACTTCCCTTTCTCAAGCCGGACTCAGAGCAGCTCACAATATTATTATTATTATTATTATTATTATTATTATTATTTCATGCCAGGAGCAACCTGAGGAACTGCAAGTCACTTCTGGTGTGAGAGAATTGGCCGTCTGCAAAGACGTTGTCCAGGGGACGCCCGGTTGTTTTGATGTTTTACCATCCTTGTGGGAGGCTCCTCTCATGTCCCCGCATGGGGAGCTACAGCTGACAGAGGGAGCTCATCCATGCTCGCCATCTATTATATAATAATAATTCTCCAGCCATGGTGATGATAGTTATATTTATTTACCCTCTCTCAAGCTGGACTCAGATCAGCTCACAACTTTAACGAGAGTACAATTTAAAGCCTTCAATATTCTTATTGTTATTAATGATTATTAATAATAATTAATAATGGAGAAATATTACTATTATTAATAGCAATAATTCTCCAGCCATGGTGATGATGAAAGTTATATTTATTTATACTTCCCTCTCTCAGAGCAGCTCACAACAATAAAGACAGTGCAATTTAAAACCCACAATATTATTATTATTAATTTTCTTTCTCTAGCTGTGAAGATGGTGATAGTTATATTTATTTATACTTCCCTTTCTCAAGCCGGACTCAGAGCAGCTCACAATATTATTATTATTATTATTATTATTATTATTATTATTATTATTATTATTTCGTGCCAGGAGCAACTTGAGAAACTGCAAGTCGCTTCTGGTGTGAGAGAATTGGCCGTCTGCAAGGACGTTGCCCAGGGGACATCCGTATGTTTAGATGTTTTACCATCCTTGTGGGAGGCTTCTATCATGTCTCTAAGTGGGGAGCTGGAGCTGACAGAGGGAGCTCATCTGCGCTCGCCCCGGATTTGGATCTCCAACCTGTCGGTCATCAGTCCTCCCAGCACAAGGGTTTAACCCACCTATTATATAATAATAATTCTCCAGCCATGGTGATGATGATAGTTATATTTATTTATACTTCCCTCCCTCAAGCTGGACTCAGATCAGCTCGCAACATTATTTTTTTTATTATTATTATTATTATTATTATTATTATTATTATTATTATTCCCTGCTAGATCTCTCCTGTAGGAGACTCAAAACAGCTATGTATCTATGATGATGACGATGATTTGATACACAACAAGATGAATACACAGCAAACAAGATCACTCTGCTGGCTGTTGTATTTGATCACACGTCGGACATTCCCAAGTGTCTAGGACTGTGTGATGTATCGGCGAATAATGCGTGCAGATCCGAGTAGGGTGGCCTTTTGCAGCTGACAAGTGGTGATTTTCTCAGCACCAATTGCTTTCAAGTGCAGGCCAAGGTCTTTAGGCACTGCACCCAGTGTGCCAATCACCACTGGGGCCACCTTTACTGACTTGTACCATTATTATTATTATTATTATTATTATTATTATTATTATTATTTATTATTAGCTGTCCCCTGCCATGCGTTGCTGTGGCCCAGCCTGGTGATCTGGAAAATAAAGTAATGAGAAAGTGTTGGTTTCTAATATATGTAATTCCTTTCTGCTTGTGAGTAAACAGTATTTCTTGTTGTTTCTTTGTCAGTGTTGATGTGGAGAGTGTCTGGTTTGCCTACTCTGGAATATGCAACATATCATAGTCCTTCTTTAAGGGTCTCTTTCAAATCTATGATACTATATCTGTGTGTGTGAGAGAGAGAATCATATCTATCTATATCTCTGGCTGGATGGCTCTTTGTCAGGAGGGCTCTGATTACATTTTCTTGCCCTGGTGAAGAGAGTTGGACTGGATGGCCTTAAGTATTTTCTGTTGGTCATGTGACTTGGTTCTGTGTGGGAAGTTTCATCTGTGGGTTTCAGAATGCTCTTTAATTGTAGTGAACTATAAATCCCAGTAACTACAAATTCCAAATGTCAAGGTCTATTTCCTCCAAACTCCATCTGTGTTCATATTTAGGCATATGGAATTTTTGTGTCAAGTTTGGTCCAGATCCATCATTGTTTGAGTCCACAGTGCTCTCTGGATGTAGGTGAACTACAACTCCCAAACTCAAGGTCAATGCCCACCAAACCCTTCCAGTGTGTTCTGTTGGTCATGGAAGTCCTGTATGCAATGTTTGGTTCAATTCCATCATTGGTGGAGTTCAGAATGCTCTTTGATTGTAGGTGAACTATAAATCCCAGCAACTACAACTCCCAAATGTCAAGGTCTATTTCCCTTAAACTCCATCTGTGTTCATATTTGGGCATATGGAATATTCGTGCCAAGTTTGGTCCAGATCCGTCATTGTTTGAGTCCACAGTGCTCTCTGGATGTGGGTGAACTATAATTCCCAAACTCAAGGTCAATGTCCACCAAACCCTTCCAGTTTTTATTGTTGGTAATGGGAGCCATGTGTGCTAAGTTTGGCCCAATTCTATCATTGATGGAGTTCAGAATGCTCTTTGATTGCAGGTAAACTATAAATCCCAGCAACGACAATTCCCAAATGACAAAATCAATTTTTTTGAGTGGAGGACATAAATTGGACTGTTAGGTGTCATTGTGTCCAAATTTGGTGTCATTTCCCCCAGTGGTTTTTGAGTTCTGATGGTAGCATGAACTAACATTACATTTTTATTTATATAGATTATTATATTATTACCACCCCACTTTATCTCTCCTGCAGGATACTCAAAGTAGCTGTGCAACTATTATTATTATTATTATTATTATTATTATTATTATTATTATTTATACCCTGGTTTTTCACTCTCAAAGGAGACTCAAAGCGGCTTACAATTATTATTATTATTATTATTATTATTATCCTTATTTATTTATACTCAGCTGTATCTCTTCTGAAGGAGACTGAAAACGGCTTACAATTGAAAATACTATTATTGTACATTATTATTATTATTATTATTAATACCCCGCTTTGTCTCTCCCGAAGGAATCTCAAATCAGTTGAACATAAAAACCCATAATATATATATGATTAAATAATTAAACCCTTAAATAGAACTAAATGTCGCATTATTGTGCCCAAGGCAATGAAAGTGAGGTCAAACTGCATCCATTCTGCAATGTAGACGCAACCCAGGAATGCTTTTGCTTGTTGTCGGGAAATGCTTTCCTTTTTTGTCTTCAGAGACAATGCTATAAATACTATCTTAATTCAGGAACTTGGCTTTGCTTCCAAATGGCTTCAGGATACGTTTGCATGCGCTTCCTTCCTCCCCCCCCTTCCCCCCCCCCCCGATAACAGGGAATATTTATGGCTTTTAGGGAGAAGGGAGGGAGGGGCTCTCTTGCAAACAACGCCCACTCAAAGAATTTTATAAGTTTTTATTAAAACATTAATATTCTTATTTTCTGCGACTCCCGATGATGAAATACAATATAGCTTCTCAAGCTGTAACTCGCCATGGCAGGTAAAGTGGTGCCAAACCACATTCATTCTGCAGTGTCAATGCACGCTGTATTACATTGCACTAACAAGATAGGATCATAATTGTACCCTTTCTAATAGCCTCACTTGTGATAGCGGTGGGGTCGAGAGCAGGGCCTCCCCAGATGATCTCAAATTCCGGGGTGGGACGTAGAGGGAGATACGTTCTGACAGATACGCTGGACCGGAACCGTAAAGGGTTTTGTAGGTCAGAACCAGCACCTTGAATTGTGCTCGAAATTGAACCGGCAGCCAGTGGAGCTGACACAGCAGGGGGGTGGTATGCTCCCTGTATGTCGCTCCGGTAAGCAATCTGACTGCCGCTCGCTGGACCAGTTGGAGTTTCCGAACAGTCTTCAAGAGCAACCCCACGTAGAGTGCGTTGCAGTAGTCTATACGGGATGTAACAAGAGCGTGGACCACTGTGGCCAGATCAGACTTACAGGTTACACATGCAAAAGAGCTGATGATGTTACTTCCTACACAGGATTCGGAGGTGGAGAGCAAGGTGGATGGCGGGGGCGAAACAGCCTCGGACAGCGAGAGCAAGGCGGGGCCAGCCCCCCCGGCCCCCGTAGATGACACCCCCGAGGTCCTCAACAGGGCCCTCTCCAACATGTCCTCCAGGTACGCTTGCACGGGCTGCATTGATTCTGCTGAAGAAGTAGTGGTATTATTAGTATTATTATTTGTTGTTGTTCAGAGGGACTAATATTATGATTCATTGGGGGGGGGGCTACAATTATTATTACTATTAGTTGTTCATGGGCCCCAATAATAATAATAATAATAATAATAATAATAATAATAATAATAATAATAATAATAATAGTTGTTGTTCAGGGCGGCTACAATATTATTATTATTATTATTATTATTATTATTATTATTATTATTATTATTATTTCCAAAGTAATATCATAAAGAAAGATAAGTAGTTAATCATGCATATATGAATGAACCCATTCTGCATCTGTGTAGACAATCAAGAAAGGAAAAATTATTTTCAGCATGAGGATTTAAATCTGCTGAATTTTCTACACATCATACCTTCTGCCTTTTATTCTTGAAAGACTGAAATAGCAAGGAACAAAAACAGAAAGAGCAACAGTCACTACTATAACTAAGGTTATAGGACTTCGACAGTGAACTAAAACATTTGATTATAAACCTGCCTTTGTTCCTCCTTACAAGAACATAGAATAAGTGAAGCATGCATACACAAATGGGTGCATCCAAATGGTAAGAAATAAGGGAATATCTATCTATTATCTATTATTATTATTATTATTATTGACACAAAAGCACAGTATGTCACAGCAAACGAGATCTATATGCTGGATTTCGTATCACAAAATCACAAGTCGAACACTTTCCAAGTGTCTAGGACTGTGATGAATTATTATTATTATTATTATTATTATTATTATTGGTTGTTGTTCGGGGGCCCCTACAATAAATTATTATTATTATTATTATTAATAATAATAATAGGATCTGCACACATCATTCAAAAATACAACACAGTCCTAGACGCTTGGGAAGTGTGCTGGTACAGCTGTACCAGGAGCTCCTATTTTGTTTGCTTTGCAGTTAATGTTTGTTTGCAATCCCAGGCTTGGGATTTTGCAGCAGGGTGGCTTCCTGTTATAGGCTGCAATCATAGGGTAAGCCACCTGCCAATTATAGTTAGGATCCCTGGTCCCGCCCCCTTTTTTTGCTTTTTGGAGGGAAAGGGCCATTTTTCAGTTCGTTTTATAGCAAAGGAAGCCAAGGCAGAGGATGCATACAGACGCTCCTCCTGTGCAAAAGCTTCGTCTTTTAAGACTTCCTGGGGAAGAACAGATTGAATGCCTCTACAGATTCCCAAAGGGTTCCAGGGAACAGCTTCACAGCCCTGAGGACCTCCGGAGGGAATAACAGCTCTTCATCTTCAGCTAAGTAATTTAAGTCTGGTGGTACGTCTGTTCGGTTCTGAGACGCAGTTCAGCCGGTAGCAGACTCAAACCAGTCAAGTTTAAGTTCACAGCAGCCTGGGAGGAGCTTTAAAGGGGAATTTTTCTGTTGAGCAAAGTTTCTTGAAGATAGTGCCTGTTTCCTGTAAACAAGACTGCAAAAGCCAATAGACTATTTAGAAATCTTACAATTCCTGCTTGTTCATTAATAAAGACTGTTGTATTCAAGCTTAAGTCTCCTAAAGCCTGTTTAATAGGAGAAATTCCTCTAAAGGTTCTTTCTCGGGCCCCCGGGCTTCCCGCTGGACTCAAGCCTTGCATCCTCTCTTAGAAGCATTTAATTTCAGCTCCAGCGGCGACAGAACAGGAAGTGTTTGACTTGTGATTTTTTGATACGAAATCCAGCATATAGATCTCATTTGCTGTGACATACTGTGCTTTTGTGTCAGTAAAATAATAATGATGATCTATACAAATAAAAATGTAATGTTCATTTGTGGGATTAATTTAACTCAAAAACCACTGGACACTATACCCTTAACAAAGCAATGAGTGACCATCACTCATAACCCCTCCCCCCCAAAAAAAAACAAACCAGTGGAAATGACTTTAAAACCCAAAAAATCTAAATGATGATACAGGAAAAAAGGGAAGGAAGAGGGAGGGAATGGGAGAAAGAAAGAGAGAAAGAGGGAGGGAAAGAAAGAAAGAAGAAAAGAGAGAAGGAAGCATGGAACCAAAGAGCAAAGGAAGGAAGGAAAGAGGTAGAAAAGGAAGAAAGAGAAAGAAGAAGGAAAAGAAAAAGTGAGGAAGGAAGGAAAGAGGGAAGGAGAGAAGGAAAGGAAAAAGGGAAGGAAGGAAGGAGGGAAAGAAGTAGAGAAAGAGGGAGGGAAGGTTGGCCACAGCAACGCATGGTGGGTACAGCTAGTTATTATTGTTATTGTTATGATTATTATTATTAGTTTAGGAGGCCCTACAATTATTATTATTATTAGGCTCCTAATGTTCATCCCTCTCCTCCTTCAGGTGGAAGAACTGGTGGGTGAGAGGCATCCTGACCCTGGCGATGATCGTCTTCTTCTTCATCATCATCTACTTGGGGCCCATGGTGCTGATGATGATTGTAAGTCCTCTTGCAATGCCTCATCTCTCTTCTCTTTTCTTTCTTCTTGTCCTTGAGAAGTCAGCCTATGCTTCAGGGAAATTGTCCCTTCTAGCTTGAAGATATGAGTCAACATTCCCAGACTTACCACAGATGGAGAAATTTCTCCCCGGGGAAATTAGATCAGCGATATCCCTCCTTTCCTTTAGGAAAAAATTGAAAACATGGATGTGGGACCAGGCATTCGGACAATCTGGCATAGCATTGAACCCCATCGAAATGAATGACTTCTGTCAGGAGTTATCTATAGACTCACAATAGAGGAAATAGAAATTGCCTCAAGAGAACACTTTCCTAGGCATTTCTTAAGTCCTCCAGTGTTACTTTATGGTCAACATCTGATTGAAGTGTACCATAGTATTGTTCATGGGGGGGTGGAAGAGAGATTGCAGAGTCTTGGTCACAGTTAGCAGAGACTTTATAGCACATCCTCTGACCTTGTGTAGTAGCTCACTGCTTGAGCAAGCACACTTAAGCTCTGGCTTTCATCCATACTCCTTTGGAGGTTTATTCTTCAGTCGTTACTACATATAACTATTTACAGGTCTGCTATCAGTATGCAGAGATACATACAGAGATAGCAAGACACTCACACGATGAGGTAAGTTATGGATTACAGATGCAGAGAGACCATGGCAGGCTATTTTAAATGACAGAGAGCAAACACAAGGCAAAGAGGAGGTGTAGATATAAGCCACTCCCGGGAAATGGCTCAGCTGTCCTTCTCAGATCACATCTCCACTCTTAACAATTCAAAGTGCTGGTTTTGACCTGCAAAACCCTATACAGTTCCGGCCCAGTGTATCTGTCCGAACGGATCTCCCTCTACGTCCCACCTCGGAGTCTAAGATCTTCTGGGGAGGCCCTGCTCTCGACCCCGCCTCTATCACAAGTGAAATTGGTGGGGACGAGGAGCAGGGCCTTCTCGGTGGTGGCCCCTCACCTGTGGAACTCACTCCCCGGGGAAATTAGATCAGCGATATCCCTCCTTTCCTTTAGGAAAAAATTGAAAACATGGATGTGGGACCAGGCATTCGGACAATCTGGCAGATAAAGAAAGGACTTTGACAATGGACAGGAATTGACTAAGTGGAATGGAATTATGGAACTCTGAAAGACGAACGCTGAGCATGAGATTAGTTTTATTGATTGTGTCATGTACCGATTGTTTTTAACTGTGATAATTGTTTTAACTGCTGTTTTGTACGTATGTGTAATTTGTGTAGGCATCAAATTGTGCCTTTTTGTAAGCCGCCCTGAGTCCCCTCTCGGGGATTGAGAAGGGCGGGGTAGAAGTACTCGAAATAAATAAATAAATAAATAAACCCTTTCAGTGAATTGTGCTGTGAACACATGTCCATTAGAACTGTATTTTTCCACACTGGAAGTACATACAATGCATTCCTATCTGATAACTGCATTTTTCTACCTGGCAAGTATCATGCTGAAGGGACCTGGAAAATACTAAGAACCTCTAGGTCCTCCTGCGTGACTCTGTGATCAAATTTAACGGAGGACTTAAAATATTGCGCTGGAGAATAAAATGCCTACAGAGGATACATCTCTAGGCATCTCTTGGTTCTCTGGCATGACTTTATGGTCAACTTCCAGCAGAAGAATACAATAGCATCGTTCTGAAGGGCCACATAAGCATCTACAGGTCCTCCAGTGTCATCCTATGGTGAAATTCAATGGAAGCATACTATGGCACTGTGCTGGAGGCCTGGAGGTATTTTAAGTTCTCAACATGATCAACATTTGACTGGAAACATACCATAGAGTCGCACTGGTGCATTCAAGGCGGGTGGGCATAGGATTGAAGGGAGAAGACGGAGCCCCATCATCCCCCTCTGTCTTAAGAGACCCCTTTGCCTTGCAGGTGATGTGCGTCCAGATCAAGTGCTTCCATGAAATCATCACCATCGGCTACAACGTCTACCATTCCTATGAACTGCCTTGGTTCCGGACGCTCAGCTGGTAAGATCCAACGCTCCTTTAGACGAACACTATGCCACACTATGATTATTATTCCTGGGTTCTCAAGGTCATTACCTAATTGGTTCTGCCATAAAACATGGAAAAGGATTAATAAACTACACAACCTTTGTCTTTGCAAGAGGGACATCCTGCAGCATTATTATATTATATCACACTAACTAATACTGTGATTTTTGTTCCTGGATTATCAATGTCGTTTCCTCATTGGTTCTGTCATAAAAACATGGAAAAGATTTATTAAACTGCAAAAAAAAAAACTTTGTTAAGAAGGACATCATGCAGCATATTACATCACATCATATTATATTATGGAGCCCCCGGTGGTGCAGTGGGTTAAACCCCTGTGCCGGGAGGACTGAAGACCAACAGGTCGCAGGTTCAAATTCGGGGAGAGCGCATATGAGCTCCCTCTATCAGCTCCAGCTCCTCATGCGGGGACATGAGAGAAGCCTCCCACAAGAATGTTAAAACAGCACAACATCTAAGGTTGTTAATGTTTGATCCCTAATCCATCTAAAACACAGACATGTGCTTTTCACCTTAAGAACAGACAAGCATCCCGAGCTCTGAGGATGATCTGGGAAGGAATCCCACTGGAGCATTGCAGCGCACCCAAATACCTGGGAGTCACTCTGGACCGTGCTCTGACCTACAAGAAGCATTGCCTGAATATCAAACAAAAAGTGGGTGCTAGAAACAATATCATACGAAAGCTTACTGGCACAACCTGGGGATCACAACCAGACACAGTGAAGACACCTGCCCTTGAGCTTTGCGACTCTGCTGCTGAGTATGCATGCCCATTGTGGAACACATCTCACCACGCTAAAACAGTGGATGTGGCTCTTAATGAGACATGCCGCATTATCACGGGGTGTCTGCACCCTACACCCTACACCACTGGAGAAATTACACTGTTTAGCCGGTATTGCACCACCTGACATCCCCCAGGAAGTAGCAGCCAATACTGAAAGGACCAAGGCAGTGACATCTCCAGCTCATCCCCTGTTTGGGTATCAGCCAGCACGTCAACGACTTAAATCAAGAAATAGTTTTCTAAGATCTACAGAGACACTCGCTGGAACACCTCAGCAAGCGAGAGTCCAAAAGTGGCGGGCTCAAACCCAGAACCTCAATCAATGGCTGATACCAAATGAGAGACTCCCCCCTGGGCACACAGAAGACTGGGAGACTTGGAAGGCGCTGAACAGACTACGCTCTGGCACCACGAGATGCAGAGCCAACCTTCAGAAATGGGGCTACAAAGTGGAATCCTCGACATGCGAGTGTGGAGAAGAGCAAACTACTGACCACCTGCTGCAATGCAACCAGAGCCCTGCCACATGCACAACGGAGAACCTTCTTGCAGCAACACCAGAGGCACTCCAAGTGGCCAGATACTGGTCAAAGGACATTTAATCAACTACCAAGCTTGCAAACTTTGTGTTTTGTCTGTCTGTCTGTCTGTCTGTCTGTTTATTTGTTGTTTTGTTAAAAATGTAACACAACTGCCTGGTTGCTCCTCACACGATAAATAAATAAATAATGTTTCTTCCAGCAATTTTAGCTCTAGCCTTGGATTCATCAAGCCTCGCACATCGAATGATCTGTTCTGCATACGAGTTGAACAGTTGAATAAAAGTAATACAATATATATGATATAAAACGTACAAACATTAAAATGCAATTAAACTTGGAAATAATAAAATTCATAATTAAAAGCAATAAAATAATCAAACAATCTAGAATTTATTATTATTATTATTATTATTATTATTATTATTATTATTATTATTATTATTTTACTGACACAAAACCACAATATGATGTGAAATATATATGCTGGATTTCGTATCACGGGTCAAACACTTCCCAAGCGTCTAGGACTGTGTGATATATTTTCACATGAAGCGTGCAGATCCAAGTCAGGTGGCTTTTTGCAGTTGACAGATCGTGATTTTGTCAATGTGTATTGTTTCCAAATGCCGGCTGAGATATTTTCCCACTGATACCACCTGTACTGGTTGATGCCAGAGCTTTTGCAGTTCGATTGTGAGGTCCTGATAACGGCTGAGTTTTTCCTGTTGTTTTTCCTCAATGCGACTGTCACCTGGAATGGCGACATCAATAATCCAGACTTTTTTCTTTTCCACAATCATGATGTCTGGTGTGTTGTGTTCCAAAACTTTGTCAGTCTGGATTCGAAAGTCCCACAATATTTTTGCGTGTTCATTTTCCACTCCCATTGCAGGTTTGTGATCCCACCAATTCTTGACTACTGGCAGGTGGTACTTGTGACATAAGTTCCAATGAATCATTTTGGTTACAGAGTTGTGCCTCTGTTTGTAGTCTATCTGTGCGATTTTCTTGCAGCAGCTGAGGAGGTGATCCATGATTTCATCAGCTTCTGTCTGCATTTTGGGTCATCATTTGACTTTTCAGTCCTGGCCTTAATTGCATTTATTCTGATGGCTTGCTCCTGGGCTGCAAGAATCAGGCCTTCTGTCTCCTTCTTCAGTGTTCCTTTCGTGAGCCATAACCAGGTCTTCTCATTATTATTATTATTATTATTATTATTATTATTATTATTATTATTATTATTATTTCTAGCCTGCTTTTTGTCTTCAGAAATAGACCCAAAGAGGCTAACAACAAAGCAATACAATATTCAGTATATAACATGTTAATCTTCTGCCCATTATTTATATATTGTCCAGGTACTTCCTGCTGTGCGTGAACTACTTCTTCTATGGGGAGACGGTGACAGACTACTTCTTCACGCTGGTGCAGCGCGAGGAGCCATTGAGGATCCTGAGCAAGTACCATCGCTTCATCTCCTTCGCCCTTTACCTGACAGGTAAGAAAGGAACCTGGGAGTTGTAGTTTGCTTTCAAACTTCATTCTCTCTGTATCCATATCCTGGCCTACTTGCCAAGTTTGTTGTTAGTGGGAGGCTCTTCTCTGTCCCCTTTGAATCCATTGGCATTCCAATAGGTTCGAGGGAATAAGCCAGTGAAAGAGGAATGTGATTTTAAATCGAAATGATAATAATGCATAACAATACAATCCCAGGGCTGTTGTAGGTTTTTTTGGGATATATGGCCATGTTCTAGAGGCATTCTAGAATGCCTCTAGAACATGGCCATATAGCCCGAAATACCTACAACAACCCAGTGTTTCCGGCCATGAAATCCTTCGACAATACATTAATACAATCCCAATTGTATTGTATTAAATATAATATAATAATATATAATAATTATATATTATATGTAAAATTACTAATATTACTAATTTATTTACTGCATTTGTATACTACCTTTCCCAGCCCGTAGGCAACTCAAGGCAGTTAACAGACTAAAATTCAATGCTTACAATATCATAAATATAATTAAAAACATAAAATATAATAAAAACTAAACAAATCAATAAAATATGAATTCATAGTGTCTCCTTGCTAAAAACGTTGTCCAGTCTCATTGTCATCATTCCATTTTCCTATGTCAGCTATTCTACATTTGGAAACGCTTGTTCAAAAAGCCACGTCTTGACTTTTTTCCGGAATGTTAAAAGGGAGGTGGCCGATTTAATATCTGTAGGGAAGGCCGAGGGGCCACCACCGAGGGACTGTTTCTCTCGTCTCCGCCAAACGTACTCGTGATGAAGTACATATATATAATATATAATACTAATATGCTATATTACTAATATAATATATTATATCTGCATATAATATTAATATTGTAATCTATATATATAAATTTGTTAGGGGCATCCAACGGAGAAACAAAACTCAAAAAACCCCCAACGAAACTTAACCAAAATTCCCATGCCCATAACACAACCCACAAGGTACAAACATATCTACTCAAAATGAAAAACAACACAACAACACACTCACAAAACGGCAAAACAACAAAACTCAAAAATCCCCCAATGAAACTTAACCAAAATCCCCGTGCCCATAACACAACCCACAAGGTACAAACATATCTACTCAAAATGAAAAACAACACAACAACACACTCACAAAATGGCAAAAGAACAAAACTCAAAAAAACCCCAACGAAACTTAACCAAAATTCCCATGCCCATAACACAACCCACAAGGTACAAACATATCTACTCAAAATGAAAAACAACACAACAACACACTCACAAAACGGCAAAACAACAAAACTCAAAAATCCCCCAATGAAACTTAACCAAAATCCCTGTGCCCATAACACAACCCACAAGGTACAAACATATCTACTCAAAATGAAAAACAACACAACAACACACTCACAAAACGGCAAAACAACAAAACTCAAAAAAACCCCAACGAAACTTAACCAAAATTCCCATGCCCATAACACAACCCACAAGGTACAAACATATCTACTCAAAATGAAAAACAACACAACAACACACTCACAAAACGGCAAAACAACAAAACTCAAAAATCCCCCAACGAAACTTAACTAAAATCCCCGTGCCCATAACACAACCCACAAGGTACAAACATATCTACTCAAAATGAAAAACAACACAGCAACACACTCACAAAACGGCAAAAGAACAAAACTCAAAAAAACCCCAACGAAACTTAACCAAAATTCCCATGCCCATAACACAACCCACAAGGTATAAACATATCTACTCAAAATGAAAAACAACACAACAACGCACTCACAAAACGGCAAAACAACTGAGCATGCGCATTGGCGCCCAGCCGCAAGTTCCCTGGCGCGCGCACATGGCCTTCTGGCCAACGTTCCCTCTGCGGAAACCATGCCCACTCCAAGCCCCGCCGCGCCGCTTCCCGCACACACACACACCCTGCCGCACACACACACGCAACCCCACGCTCCATCACTCCCCCCGCCCGCACACACACACGCAACCCCCCGCCGCCGCACACACACACACAACCCCACACTCCATCACTCCCCCCGCTGCCGCACGCACACACGCAACCCCACTTCCCCCGCCGCCGCACACACACACGCAACCCCACGCTCCATCACTCCCCCGCCGCCGCACACACACACGCAACCCCACTCCCCCCGCCGCCGCACACACACACACAACCCCACGGTCCATCACTCCCCTGCCCCAATCTTACCTCCTTTTACTTCACGCCACCTCCAAACCCCACCCCGCCCTTTCCCGCCCTGTCAAAATCCAGGAAAGACAGGAAGGAAGGAAAGAAGGAAGAAAGAGAAAGGGAGGTAAAGAAAAAGGGGGAAGGAAGGAAAGTTAGAGAAAGAAGGAAGAAGAAAAGGAAAGAAAAGGAAAGATGGAAGGAAAGAAAAGAGAGACAGCAGAAGAGAAAGAAAAAGGGGGAAGGAAGGAAAGAGATAGAGAAAGAAGAGGAGAAGGAAAGATAGGAAGGAAGGAAGGAAGGAAGGAAGGAAGGAGGGAGGGAGGGAGGGAGGGAAAGAAGGAGAGAAAGAAGGAGAGAAAGAGGGAAGATTGGCCACAGCAACACGTGGCGGGTAAAGGTTGTTATTTCTATTATTATTATTATGCTATTGTTCCTATGAGACCCTTTTAGGGGGAATGGGAGAGGTGTCAGGTCCCAGAGGCAATGCATTGCATTATTGTTATTGTTATGATGGTGGTAAATAAAAGGAAATAAAAAGTGAAAGAAGGAAGCAAACAGGGAGGGAAGAAAGGCAAAGGAAGAAAGGGGGAGGGAATGAAGGAAAGAGAGAAGGATGAAACCAAGTAGTGAAAGAAGGAAAGAAAGAAAGAGGTAGAGAAGGAAGAAAGGAGAGAAAGGGGGAGGAAAAGGGGGAAGGAATAGGTAGGTACCTCTCTTTCATAATAGTCCAGATATCTACCTCAACTTTGATAAGTTTTACTATAGGCCACAGCAACGCGTGGCAGGGCACAGCTAGTACAATATAATACTGATAATAATACAATATAATAGTGCATAAAGTAATATTGTAATATAATAATACTAATATATTAAATATATAAGTGGTGCCAAACTGCATTTATTGTGTAGTGGAGATGCATCCGGATTCTTATTGTCAGTCTACCTCTGGGTGCAGCTACACTGTGTAGTTTAATGCAGTTTAACGGCAAAGTCTCTGCTATGGATTTCTGGGAGATGTAGTTTGATGATACCCTCACATTCAGCCATGGAAGTTGAAGCGGTGCCAGACTGCGTTCATTCTGCAGTGTAGATGCAACCAGAAGTATCTCATCTAGTTGAATCAGAACCCAATCCTGTGATTCTTTCCTTTGTAAAAGGCGGGAGGTTTAAATGCAAATTATTAAGTAGCTAATAGCACATTCAATGAGCCCACAAAGCCATGGCAGGCTGATTAATGAGACAATTCAGCCGTTTTTGAGTCTCCTATTAATAAACATAATAAACATCATAATATAGTAATAAAAAGTTTCCTAACCTATTGTTTGCATATTTGTATATTTTAAATTCTATGGTCATATTTTTAATATAAGCCGCTTTGGATCTCCTTCGGGAGAGATAAAGCAATCTATAAATAAATATAATAATATTAATAATAATAGATACATAGCCATTGTGAGTCTCCTTGGGGAGAGATAAAGCGAAGTATGATAATGTAATCTCTCGTCTCTTTATTATAGGTTTCTGCATGTTCGTCTTGAGTCTGGTCAAAAAGCATTATCGGCTCCAGTTCTACATGGTAAGACTATGAAGCCAATAGGTCCAGGGCTTGTGAAATTAATAGCTTGTGGCAAAGAGAGGAAAAAGGTGGAAATGCATGTGTGTGTGTATCTTCCTTCATTTTTGCAATCATATACGTCTTAATGCAATGGTTCTGAACCTTTTCTGGAAGGTCCTTTGAGAATCTACCCAAAGTTATATATCCCTTGCCCAAGAATCGGGAAAATTGCATTCAAAGCACCCCCGACAGATGGCCATCCATCCCTGTTATTGTTATTATTATATCCTGATGTCATTTATTGTTCTTCTTGTTGTTATTATATTTCTTTCCCACTTTCCTCTCTTAAGACTCAGAGCATCTCAAATAATAATTATTATTTGAAACACAACAAGATTAGTACACAGCAAACAAGGTCACTATGCTGGTTGTATTGGATCACATCTCGGACACTTCCCAAGTGTCTTGTTGTTGTTGTTGTTATATCTTATTTTATATTACGATCATTATTATTATTTCTCACCCAAGGAGAAGCAGGTAAGAAATAAAATTATTATTTTTTTACTGACACAGAAAAGCAGTATGTCACAGCAAACGATTTCATATCACAAAATCACAAGTTGAACACTTCCCAAGTTGTTGTTGTTATTATTATTATTATTATTATTATTATTATTATTATTATTAATACTTCTTATCCGCCTCTCCTTGGGTGAGAAATAAGAATAACAATAATAATAATAATAACAACAACAACAACAACAATACCATCTGCCTGCGACAAGGAACTGGTGGGATCGCAAGCTGGACAAAGTTATGGAAAATAAGCATATCAAACTATTCTGGGACTTCCGAATACAAACTGGCAGAGATTTGAAGCACAATACTCCTGACCTCACGATTGTGGGGAAAGCAAAGTATGGATTGTCGATGTTACAATCCCAGGCGACAGCAGGATTGAAGAGAAACAACTGGAAAAGCTGACACAATATGAGAATTTAAAGATCGAACTGCAGAGACTCTGGCACAAGCCAGTCAAGGTGATCTGGGGGGGGGGGGGGGGGGGGGGGGGGGGGGGGGGGGTTGGTCGTGTCAAGAGCTACTTGAGAAACTGCAAGTCACTTCTGGTGTGAGAAAATTGCCCGCCTGGAAGGACGTTGCCCAGGGGACAACATCCTTGTGGGAGGCTTCTCTCATGTCTCATGTCCCCGCATGAGGAGCTGGAGCTGATAGAGGGAGCTCATCTATGCTCTCCCAGGATTTGAACCTGCGACCTGTCCTGCCGACACAGGGGTTTAACCCACTGCGCCACCAGGGATCTCAGTGGTGATTGGCACACTGGGTGCAGTGCCTAAAGACCTTGGCCTGCACTTAAACACAATTGGCACTGTCAGCTGCAAAAGGCCACCCTACTTGGATCTGCACGTATTCTTTGCCGAAACTTCACACAGTCCTAGGCACTTTGGAAGTGTCAGACGTGGGATCAACAGTCAGCAGAGTGATCTTGTTTACTTTGCATTAATCTTGTTGTGCATATAATAATAATAATAATAATAATAATAATAATTATTATTATTATATTTTTACCTGCTTCTCCTCATGGCAGATTACATAATTGTTAAAAACACATTAACATTGTAAAGATTCTATAGATACCCATATTAAATGTATTTCTGTGAAAGATAAATATTAAAACATATTTTTAAAAATAATTTTTATTAAGTTTTCAAGTATACAAATATACGATAAAATCACATGTCTAGTTTATGTCATAAATCGGAAAAAGAATAACAAGAAGAAAGAAAAGAGCGTAAAGAAGAAAAAAATAGACAATAAAAGGAAGAGAAGAACATAGAACAAAAAACCAAACTGTATATATATATGTGTGTGTGTGTGTATACAGATATATACACATACACATGCATATATATACATGTCTACACCCACATTTACACATAAACATACGCGCACATACACCCGCACACCTATACATTCACTCACATAAAGAAAGATATACTATCTAAACACATACAATATTAAAACATATTTTTATACAATACACAGGACGCGAATTTCAAATTCATGATTATATGCATTGTTTATTATCCTTGCAAGTAAAAATGCAAGAATAATAAACAATGCAGGTAAAATATAATAATAATAATAATAATAATAATAATAATAATATTTCTTACCTGCTTCTCCTCATGGCAGATTACATCATTGTTAAAAACACATTAACATTGTAAAGATTCTATAGATACCCATATTAAATGTATTTCTGTGAAAGATAAATATTAAAACATATTTTGTATAGAATACACAGGACACGAATTTCAAATTCATGATTATATGCATTGTTCATTATCCTTGCAAGTTTGGACAACACAAAAAGGAATGCTTAGAAATGCTAAACATTGGCTTACAAATTCATTGTTGAAAATGCAAATGAAATAGGCAAAGAAATGTCACGTTTGCATCCAGTGTATCCGTTTGCTAGCGATGCACAACGTGGTGCATGAGACATTCTTGAGTGTGGACTTCTTTCCTTTTAAAACCTTTCACCTCTCGCTCCTCAATTCATATAATCCGCATTTTGGCTCATCTTGGGAGAAATGTTGGGGTTGGTTGGTTTTGTTGGTTTGTTTTCGCTGTTTTGCAAACCGGATTTGCACGTTTCTCTCTCTCTTTTCCCAGTTTGGCTGGACCCACGTGACTTTGCTCATAGTGGTCACCCAGTCGCACCTCATCATTCACAACCTCTTTGAAGGAATGATCTGGTGAGTTGGTGGCGCTTTGCGGGGCTTTGGCTGTGATAGATAGGCGCATGGGCGCACATGGGAACTCATCACTCGCCATTGATTGTAAGGTGTGGCTTTGGTTGGTGGTGACCAGCCAGCTTTGCAAAGCCCTTGCTCAAAACTCCCAAGGCTTTTGCTACGCCTAGATGCATATGCTCTTACTCAATGGGAAGCGATGCCTATCCAAGCATCTTTCCATGTAGGTCTTGGAATCCTAGAGTTGGAAGGGGCCCCCAAAGGTCATCTAGTTGAGCCTTTTGCTGTGTTGGAACACACACAACTTTAAATGTAGATAATTCCCTCTATTGAAAGATGCATTGTCTTTTCATGTCGAGATGGAAGGTCATCCAGTCCAGCCCTTTGCTGGACTTTAAATATAGATATTCCCTTTTCAGAAATCTGTATTGTCTTTCCGTGTAAGTTCCTCGAGTTGAAAACCCTTTTCAAGGTCATCTAGTCCAGCCTTTTGCCACGACTTTACATATAGATATTCCTTTTTCGGAATCAAGAGTTAGAAGAGACTTTGTGGGCCATCCAATCCAACCCCCTGCCTAGAAGCAGGAAAATCGCATTCATAAAACCCCGACAGTGAAATCCTAGAGTTGGAATGCCCCCCCCCCCAAAGATCATCTAGTCCATCCTTTTGCCATGTTGGAAGACACCACTTTAAATGTAGGGTCTTAGAATTAGAAGGGATGCCCAAAGGTCATCTAGTCCAGCCTTTTGCCATATCGGAACACACAACTTTAAATGTAGATACTGTATATACTCGAGTATAAGCCGACTGAATATAAGCCGAGGCACCTAATTTTACCACAAAAAACTGAGAAAATGTATTGATTCGAGTATAAGCCGAGGGTGGGAAATGCAGCATTTACGGGTCAATTTCAAAATAAATAATAAAATTATATTAATTTAGGCATCAGTAGGTTAAATGTTTTTGAATATTTTTGAATATTTACATAAAACTGTAATTCAAGATAAGACTGTCCAACTCTGATTGAACCATTATTCTAACCTTCTTCAATGTAAATATGCTTACATGTCCTCCAATAATAATAAATAGAGTAAAATAATAATAATAGAGTAAAATAATAAACGTAATAATAACAATACAGTAAAATAATAAATGTAACAATAACAATAATAGAGTAAAATAATAAATGTAATAACAACAACAATAAAATAATAAATGTAACAATAACATTAGAGTAAAATAATAAATGTAATAATAACAATAGAGTAAAATAATAAATGTAGCAATAACAATAATAGAGTAAAATAATGTAATAATAACAATAGAGTAAAATAATAAATGTAACAATAACAATACAGTAAAATAATAAATGTAACAATAACAATAATAGAGTAAAAGAATAAATATAATAATAATAACAACAATAAAATAATAAATGTAATAATAATAATAACAACAACAAAGTAAAATAATAAATAATATTGACTCAAGTATAAGCCAGGGGAGACTTTTTCAGCCTAAAAAAAAGGACTGAAAACTAGGCTTATACTCGAGTATATACAGTAATTCCCTTTTCGGAAAGCTGTATTGTCTTTCCATGTAGAGTTGGACCCCCCCCCCCCCAAGGTATCTGAACACATAACTTTAAATGTAGGCTCTTAGAGTTGGAAGGGGCCCCCAAAGATCATCTAGTCCAGCCCTTTGCCATGTCGAAACACACAACTTTAAATGCCAATATTCCCTTTTTGGAAAGTTGTATTTCTTTTCATGTAGAGTTGGAAGGGGCCCCCAAAGGTCATCACGTTGGAAGACACAACTTTAAATATGTTATTCCAGAGGAGGCCAAACCAAAGCAGACGAGAGTGGGACTATGTCTTCCCTCGATCTGGACACTAGACTCCCATTGATGCAGCCTAGAATCGCATTGGCCTTTTTTGCTACCACATGGCACTCTTGGCTCATGCTCAGCCTGTGGTTTACGAAGACGCCTAGATCCCTTTCCCATGGAATATTTTCAAGCCAGGTCTCACCCATCCTATATTTCATTTTCTGTATTTTCTGTTTTTCTTCTGCATTGTGGATGCCTTTTTCCTCTCGATGCTTAGGTTCATCGTCCCAATTTCTTGTGTCATTTGCAACGACATCATGGCCTACATGTTTGGGTTCTTCTTCGGACGCACTCCGCTGATTAAGGTCAGTCCTCCAGTTCATATGTTAACTTACAGTAAAGTCCTGGTATATTCATTACATAGTAAAGTCCCATTATATATGCATTACATTTTAGTAAAGTCTCAGTATATACATGATAAAGCCCCAGTATGTACATTATGTTATAGTAAAGTCCCATTATATCAGTTATAGTAAAGTCCCAGTATATACATGATAAAGCCCCAGTGTGTATATTATGTTACAGTAAAGTCCCATTGTATACATTACATTATACTTAAGTCTCAGTATATACATTATACTAAAGTCCCAGTATATACATGACAAAGTCCCAGAATGTACATTATGTTATAGTAAAGTTCCATGGTATACATTACCGTAAAGTCCCAGTATATACATGATAAAGTCCCCGTTTATACATTATGTTACAGTAAAGTCCCACTATATACATTCTAGTAAAGTCCCAATAGATATATGATAAAATCCCAGTATATACATTATGTTAGAGTAAAGTCCCATCGCATACATTACAGTAGAGTTGCGATATATACATTATAAAGTCCCAGTATATACATTATGTTATAAAAAGTCCCATTATATCCATTATAGGAAAGTCCCGGAATATATATTATAAAGTTTCCATATATACATTATGTTATTTGTAAAGTCCATTGTATATATTACATTATAGTAAAGCCCCAGTATATACATGATAAAGTCCCGGCATATACAATATGTATATGTATACATATACAGTGTATACATTATAAAGTCCTATTGTATACTTTACAATATAGTAAAGTCCAAGTCCCAGTATATACATTATGTTATAGTAAAGTCATGTTATATATATTATAAAGTTCCGATATATACATTATGTTATTTGTAATGTCCATTGTATATATTACATTATAGTAAAGCCCCAGTATATACATGATAAAGTCCCAGTATATACAATATCTTATAGTAAAGTCCCCGTGTATACATTATAAAGTCCCATTGTATACATTACAATATAGTAAAGTCCAAGTCCCAATATATGCATTATGTTATAGTAAAGTCATGTTATATACATTATAGTGAAGCCCCAATATATACATTATGAAGTCCCATTATACATTATGTTATAGTAAAATGACGTGCCTTGCATAAAATGTCAAAATCATGGTTTGCGTTTTGTAAATTTAATTTTGGGGATTTTGTTCCAAGCTATGGATGCTGCATCCATGCAATTGCAATCTGGGGAGGATAACTTAGAATACTGAGCCAGGGAGACGTAGTTCTTCCCACCAAACGACAATCCCTACATGTCCATGGGATTCTTGCAGGGCAACTGAATTGGGGTTGCGGTGCTGTCATTTTGTCAGCTCAAAATGGTTGGCTTGAGTTGTTGTTGCAGTTTCCTCCTTGCAGTTTTGTGGCTTGTCTCTCTTTCTGCAGCTGTCTCCGAAAAAGACCTGGGAAGGTTTCATTGGCGGCTTCTTTGCCACCGTGGTTTTTGGCCTTTTGGTGAGTGTTTTGTGTATTTTTTTCAAGGGCGAAATAAGGCGCAACGGGCCTCTCCGGATGGGAAAGAAATGGCAAAGTTGGTTGGAGGGAATTTGGGGCGCTCTCAGGGGAGGAAAGTGGAGAGGAAGGACCGATTGTCCACCAAAGGATCACTACGTAACACTATAATTTTTGTTCCTGGATTAGCAATGTCATTTTCCAATTGGCTGTATCATAAAAGCATGTGAAAAGTTTACTAAACTGTCAAAACTTTGCCTTTGCGGGCGGGACATCACTCTGTTAGAGCAAATTCTGCTCTAATTTTTCAATGCATATCTCACAGAGCAGTGTTTCTCAACCTGGAGGTCAGGACCCCTGGGGGGTCGCAGAGGGGTTGCCAAAGACCATCAGACAACACGGTATTTTCTGTTGATTATGAGGGTTCTCTGTGGGAAGTTTGGTCCAATTCTATCATTGGTGCGGTTCAGAATGCCCTTTTATTGTAGATGAACTATAAATCCCAGCAACTACAACTCCCAATTTTTCCCCAAACTCCATCGGTGTTCACATTTGGGCATATTGAGTATTTGTGTCAAGTTTGGCCCAGATCCATCATTGTTTGAGTCAACAGTGCTCTCGATGTAAGTGAACTACAGCTCCCAAACCAAGGTCAATGCCCACCAAATCCAGTATTTTCTACTGGTCATGGGAGTTCTCTGTGCTAAGTTTGGTTCAATTGCATCCTTGGTGGAGTTCAGAATGTTCTTTGATTGTAGGTGATCTATACATCCCAGCAACTACAACTCCCAATTTTTCCACAAACTCCACCGGTGTTCACATTTGGGCATATTGAGTATTTGTGTCAAGTTTGGCCCAGATCCATCATTGTTTGAGTCAACAGTGCTCTCTATGTAAGTGAACTACAACTCCTAAACTCAAGGTCAGTGCCCACCAAACCCAGTATTTTCTATTGGTCATGGGAGTTCTCTGTGTCAAGTTTGGTTCAATTGCATCATTGGTGGAGTTCAGAATGTTCTTTGATTGTAGGTGTTCTATAAATACCAGCAACTACAACTCCCAATTTTTCCACAAACTCCACCGGTGTTCACATTTGGGCATATTGAGTATTTGTGTCAAGTTTGGCCCAGATCCATCATTGTTTGAGTCAACAGTGCTCTCGATGTAATTGAACTACAACTCCCAAACTCAATGTCAATGCCCACCAAACCCAGTATTTTCTTTTGGTTATGGGAGTTCTCTGAGTCAAGTTTGGTCCAATTGCATCCTTGGTGGAGTTCAGAATGCTGTTTGATTGTAAGTGATCTATAAATCTCAGCAACTACAACTCCCAATTTTTCTCCAATCTCCACCGGTGTTCACATTTGGGCATATTGAGTATTTGTGTCAAGTTTGGTCCAGATCCATCATTGTTTGAGTCAACAGTGCTCTCTATGTAAGTGAACTACAACTCCCAAACTCAAGGTCAATGCCCACCAAACCCAGTATTTTCTATTGGTCATGGGAGTTCTCTGTGTCAAGTTTGGTTCAATTGCATCCTTGGTGGAGTTCAGAATGCTCTTTGATTGTAGATGAACTATAAATCCCAGCAACTATTATTATTTATTTAAAACATTTATATTCCGCCCTTCTCAAAGGGGACTCAGGACGGAGCACAGCATACATACGGCAAACATTTAATGCTGGGACACAAATTCACATACAATACATAAACATTAAAAAACATTTATCAAAATATTAAAATACATCATTTAAAATCGTCCTAGTCAACTACAACTCCCAAATGACGAAATCAATCTCCCCGAACCCCACCAGTATTCAAATTTGGGCATATCGGGCATTTGTGCCAAATTTGGTCCAGTGAATACATCCTACATGTCAGATATTTATATTATGCTTCATAACAGTAGCAACATTACAGTTATGAAGTAGCAATGAAAATAATCTTATGTTTGGGGGTCACCATAACAAGAGGAACAGTATTAAGGGGTCACGGCATTAGGAAGGTTGAGAACCACTGCCATAGATTCAGGCGAAATGTCAAGAGAGAATGCTTCTAGAACATCACCATATAGCCTGAAAAACCTACAACAACCTAGTTGTTGTCATTATTATTATCATCATTTGGTTTCGCTTAATCTGTATCTGAACAATAATAAAATCTCTCCTAGGCATTTTTAGGTTTTCAAATGTTGCATAGTGTAATGCTCCCCATAAAGAGTGTGGAGGACATCTAGGAAGGCATGGCTGACTAGCCTATGGCTGGGAAGTTCATGCCTTGATTCCCCATGTGCAACCGTTTGCATTCACTGAGCTCCCAGCCCTTCTGCCCACAGCTCTCATACGTCATGTCGGGCTACCGGTGCTTCACGTGTCCTGTGGAGTTCAACAACGACAGCAACAGTTTCACCGTGGACTGCCAGCCCTCCGAGCTCTTCCAGCTGCAGGACTACAACGTCCCCATGGTGCTCCAGTCCCTCATCGGATGGGTAAGTGGAGGTGGAAGGGGCCCCAAAGGCCATCCAGTCCAGCCCCCTTTTGCCAGGCAATAAAACATCATCATGTTGTTGTTATGATTATTTGGATTTAGTCTTGTCCCTTCAGCTGTGGTCTTTAGTTGAGTTGGAAGGGACCCTCAAGATTCATCTAATCCCTTGTGTTGTTGTTGTTGTTGTTGTTGTTGTTGTTATAATAGAGTCCCTGTTGGTGCAGTGGGTTAAACCCTTATGCTGGCAGGATTGCTGACTGACAGGTCAGCGGTTCGAATCCGGGGAGAGCAGGTTGAGCTTCCATCTGTCAGCTCCAGCTCCCCATGTGGAGACATGAGAGAAGCTCATTCCACAAGGATGGTAAAACATCAAGCATCTGTAACAACAATAGAATCCGGAAGGGACCCCAAAGGCCATCCAGTCCCTTCCCCTTCTTTCTGTCAGGCAGGAAGTCACCATCCAAGCCCTCCCAACAGATGGTCACCCATCCCTTTCATAATAATAGTAGTAATAACACAATGCTAAAGTCGGAGGGGTCTCCCAAAGGCCATCCAATCCAGCCCCTGCTTTCTGCCTGGCAAAGAAGCACCATCCAACCCTTCTTAACAACAACAATAACAACAACAACAATAAATTGTCGAAGGCTTTCATGGCCGGAATCCATGGGTTGTTGTAGGTTTTTCCGGGCTATATGGCCATGTTCTGGAGGCAATTTTCTCCTGACGTTTCGCCTGCATCTATGGCAAGCATCCTCAATTCCAACAGACCTCTACCTCTGAGGATGCTTGCCATAGATGCAGGCGAAACGTCAGGAGAAAAATTGCCTCCAGAACATGGCCATATAGCCCGGAAAAACCTACAACAACCCAACAACAATAAAATCCTAAAGTTGGAAGGGACCCTCAAAGGCCATCCAGCCCAATTTCTTTCTGCCATGCAGGAAGGCACCACCCAGCCCCTCCTAATTGATGGACACCCAGCCCCTGCATCATAATCATAATAATCATGATAATCAATAATAATAGAATCCTAGAGTTGGAAGGGACCTCCAAAGGCCATCCAATCCAGCCCCTGCTTTCTGCCTGGCAAGGAGGCACCATCCAGCCCTACTTAACAACAACAACAATAGAATCCTAGAGTTGGAAGGGACCCTCAAAGGCCATCCAGCTCAATTTCCTTCTGCCAGGCAGGAAGGCACCATGCAACCCTTCCCAATAGATGGACACCCAGCCCCTGCATAATAATAATAATAATAATAATAATAATAATAATAATAATAATAATAATAGATCCTAGAGTCGGAAGGGACCTCCAAAGGCCATCCAATCCAGCCCTTGCTTTCTGCCTGGCAAGGAGGCACCATCCAGCCCTTCTTAACAACAACAACAACAGAATCCTAAAGTTGGAAGGGACCCTCAAACGCCATCCAGCCCAATTTCCTTCTGCCATGCAGGAAGGAACCACCCAACCCCTGCCAATTGATGGACACCCAGCCCCTGCATAATAATAATAATAATAATAATAATAATAATAATAATAATAATAATAGAATCCTAGAGTCGGAAGGCACCTCCAAAGGCCATCCAGTCCAGGGCTTGGATGGTGCAGGAAGGCACCATCCAAGCCCTCCTGACAGATGCCCATCCAGTCTCTGTTAAGGACCTTCAAAGAAGCTCATTCCTCTTCCATCAGGACATTTTTCTTAATGTTCAGGCTGAATCTTTTTTCCTGCCATTTGAATGCATGGCTCCATTGGGTTGTGTGGAATTCTGACGCATCTCCTTGGGATTTGCTCTTTGCTTCCCTTTCCAGAAAACGGTCCGGATGTATCCCTTCCAGATCCACAGCATCGCGCTCTCCACGTTCGCCTCCCTCATTGGCCCCTTTGGTGGTTTTTTTGCCAGCGGCTTTAAAAGAGCGTTCAAGATCAAGGTAGGAAATGGCCGGAAAGGAAGGCCACTCACATGCAGATTGTTGAAGCCTTTCCTTCTCATTCAATGGGTGCAGCAGTTGCATTTTTTTCCTGGAGAACTTACTGCTTTCCCTCCATAGAGAAGGCAGCAGGAGAGGGGGAGGGGGAGTTAAATGGGTGAATACAGGATGGATGATGGATATGGATGATGCATAGATAGAAATAGTAAAGAGGGGGTGGATAGTTGGTGATATAAAGAAGGATAGGTTGATGGATGGAGATATGGATGGATAGAGATGGATGAATGAATGATGGATGGATAGAGGTGATGTATGGATGGGTAGAGATATGAATGAATGAATATTTATTTATTTATTGTGTCAGTGCAACCAGTCGATTATATTACATTTCTAACACAACAAAGCAAAAAAAAAAAAAAACCCAGACAAAATACAAAATTTGTGAGTTTGGTAGTTGATTAAATGTCCTTCGACCAGTATCTGGCCACTTGGAGTGCCTCTGGTGTTGCCGCAAGAAGGTCCTCCATTGTGCATGTGGCAGGGCTCAGGTTGCATTGCAGCAGGTGGTCAGTGGTTTGCTCTTCTCCACACTCGCATGTCGAGGATTCCACTTTGTAGCCCCATTTCTGAAGGTTGGCTCTGCATCTCGTGGTGCCAGAGCGCAGTCTGTTCAGCGCCTTCCAAGTTGCCCAGTCCTCTCTGTGCCCAGGAGGGAGTCTCTCATTTGGTATCAGCCATTGGTTGAGTTCTGGGTTTGAGCCTGCCACTTTTGGACTCTCGCTTGCTGAGGTGTTCCAGTGAATGTCTCTGTAGATCTTAGAAAACTATTTCTAGATTTAAGTCGTTGACGTGCTGGCTGATACCCAAACAGGGATGAGCTGGAGATGTCTCTGCCTTGGTCCTTTCACTATTGGCTGCTACTTCCCGGCGGATGTCAGGTGGTGCAATACCGGCTAAGCAGTGTAATTTCTCCAGTGGTGTAGGGCGCAGACACCCGTGATAATGCGGCATGTCTCATTAAGAGCCACATCCACTGTTTTAGTGTGGTGAGATGTGTTCCACACTGGGCATGCATACTCAGCAGCGGAGTAGCACAGCGCAAGGGCAGATGTCTTCACTGTATCTGGTTGTGATCCCCAGGTTGTGCCAGTCAGCTTTCGTATGATATTGTTTCTAGCACCCACTTTTTGCTTGATGTTCAGGCAGTGCTTCTTGTAGGTCAGAGCACGGTCCAAAGTGACTCCCAGGTTTTTGGGTGTGTTCAATGCTCCAGTGGGATTCCTTCCCAGTTGATCTTCAGAGCTCAGGATGCTTCTCTGTTCTTGAGATGAAAGGCACATGTCTGTGTTTTAGATGGGTTGGGGATCAGCTGGTTTTCCCTGTAATAGGCAGTAAGAGCACCTAGAGCTTCGGAGAGCTTCTGTTCTACCATCTCAAAGCTCCCTGCTTGAGCAGCAATGGCACGATCATCAGCATAGATGAAACTCTCTGTCCCTTCTGGCAGTGGCTGGTCATTTGTGTAGATGTTGAACATGGATGGAGCAAGCACGCTCCCCTGAGGCAGGCCGTTCTTCTGTTTCCGCCATCTGCTTCTCTAGCCCTGGAACTCAACAAAAAAGCTCCTGTTTTGTAGCAGGTTTCCTATGAGGCGGGTGAGGTGGTAGTCCTTTGTGATATTATACATTTTTCTCAGGAGGAGGCGGTGGTTCACAGTATCATAGGCTGCTGACAGGTCTATGAAGACAGCTCCTGTGATCTGCTGCCTTTCAAAGCCATCTTCTATGTGCTGAGTCAGGTTCAACACTTGCGATGTGCAGCTTTTGCCTTTTCTGAAGCCAGCTTGCTGTGGAATCAGACATGGGTCTATTTTTTCCATAATTCTATGCAAAATAAGTCTCTCCAGAACTTTGTAGAGGTGGCACAACAGGGAGATTGGTCTGTAGCTTTTTGGGTCATTACGGTCTTTGCCTGGCTTCAAGATGGCGATGACTCTTGCTTTCCTCCAGATTTTGGGGATCTGACAGGATGCAGTGCAGTTGTTCATCAGCTCCAGCAGCCAGCGCCTTGCTTTTGGACCAAAGTTCTTGATTTGTTCCATCCGTAGATCATCCAGGCCAGCTGCTTTGCCATTTTTACATTTATAGAGAGCCATGTCCAATTCAGTAGATGTAAAGGGTTCATGAAGGTTGTTGTTCTCAATCTCTGGTTGTCTGGCTATTGGTTTCTTTCCTACTTTGGTGGCAAAGTTGAATGAATGAATGAATGAATGAATGAATGATAGATAGATAGATAGAGCTATAAATGCCAGATGAAGCAGAGTGGATCCTTTGCTCCTCCGACAAGAAGCCATGTGCCATGCCTGGAGTGTATTCTAGGATAATAATGTGGATGCCTCTGGGTGATGACTGTCTTTTTCCTCCTTCCCCCTCTTTCCCCTTCAATGCCACCTAGGACTTTGCCAACACCATCCCGGGGCATGGCGGCATCATGGACCGCTTTGACTGTCAATATCTGATGGCCACCTTTGTCAACGTCTACATCGCCAGCTTCATCAGGTACCTCCTGAACCAGGGCAGCTTGGAAACGGCTCAGAGATTATATATATCATCAATAAAACAATTTTTAAAAAAGGAAAGGGCTCAGAGAAAATCCTTTTGGGAGTGGGGGGTTGCATCCAAGGTAATTCCCTTCCAAGCACAGATCCGGCACCCCCTTGATGCCCCTTTTCCATCTCATTCATCTGTTGCCTTTACACTTGTTCACACAAAATAGAAAACTCTCACAACCACCATGTCAGACTACACAGAGAAGCCATTGAAATCCACAAACATGTGGACAATTTCAACAGAAAGGAAGAAACCATGAAAATGAACAAAATCTGGCTACCAGTATTAAAAAATTCTAAAATTGCAACAGCAAAAACAGCAGAGAGAAAAACAGGCAGGGACATCTAATCACCTTTCAAGAAGAGTTTGCTCCAGGCACAGTCAGCCCATTGTATGCTAATCAAGGTGGTCAGTTGAAAGATCCACACCCAGCCCAACTTACAAAAGCCTTTTGTCTCACCCTGGTCATTCCACAGATATATAAACCGTTTTCCAAGCTCCAGCAGACCTCACCTCTGAGGATGCTTGCCATAGATGCAGGCGAAACGTCAGGAGAAATGCTTCTAGAACATGGCCATATAGCCCGAAAAAACCCACAAGAACTGAGAAAATAGAAAACTGTTTTTATTGAGTCAACCAGAAGGGGTCCCCATAGGCCATCTAGTCCATCTTGCTGCTCACTATAGGATTTCTGGCTAAAGTTGATTAATAAACAAGACCCTTAAAACACATATCTTACCACTAGTGTTGTAATGTATGTATTTATTTTGTTTTTTTATCCTGCCATCCTCCCCATAGGGACTCAAGTCAGCTAATAATGCCAATTATACAACACAGGAGAAATTAAAAACAAGGCAAATATAATTACACATGGCTGTACAAAATTTAAAAAAATTATAATTAACTGTGTCATTAGTATAAAAGTCTAAATACAATAAAATACGATGATTTTAATGAATTGAACTATTTATTTCTCATAGTTTAGTTCTGTGTTCGTGTGGATACATTTTCAGTTTTAAATTGTACATTATTTTACTAGTCGTATTGTTGGCAGCTTTGAGTCTGTTTTGAGAGAGACCTATTTGTGAAGATGTCCAAAGAGGGACACTCCACCCCTTCCTTGGGTGGCAGCATAGAATATACCTCCCTCCTCCTCTCTGATCAATCAGGTAGACCAAAGCATGGAAGTGACCATTGCATATGTATTAATGTACTATATGTACTTATTGTTGTTGTTGTTGTTGTTGTTGTTGTTATTCTTTTCGGAGCAACGTAGAATGGAAGTGACCATTGCATTTGCATAGATGAGTGCCACATAAATACAAATATAACAACAACGGCAACAACAACAACCTTGTCTTGCATTTAAAAACAATCGACGCTGTCCAAATTACCACCTGACAGCTGCAAAAGGCCACCCTGCTGAGATCTGCACACATTATTCGCCAATACATCACACAGTCTTAGAGTCCGATGTGTGATCCAGTACAAAAGCCAGCAGAGTGATCTTGTTTGCTGTGGACTCATCTTGTTGTGTATCTAATAATAATAATAACCATCATCATCCTTTTGGGGCAACATGGAATAAACCTTCCCACTCCACTCTGGTCAGTGAGGTGGACCAAGGCATGGAATGACCATTGTGTTTCCATTCATGTTTTATACTTGACTATTATTATTATTATTATTCCTTTTGGGACAACATAGAATAAACGTCCCCCTTCCTCCTCTCTGGTCAGTCAGGAGGAGCAAGTCATGGAAGTGATTTGAGAAAGGCATTGTTTGTCTATGGTCCAAGTTTAGTGTAGATCCAATGTTGCCTAGGTTCAGTGGGTGCAGGTGAACTACGACTCCCATATGCAAGTCCGGTCGTCCATCCTCCTCCAAATCGCACCAAAATGTAGAATGGGTCATGGGTGCTCTGGGTGCCAAATTAAGTCTTGATCAGTCATTGGTGTGGGTCACAATGATCTCAGGAAGTGAGATCATCCATGGTCCATTGGTCCACAAACCCCACCCAGATGTAGAGTGAGTCATGGGGGCTCTGTGTACCAAGTTTCCTCTTGATCCATCATTGGTAGTGGTCGCAGTGATCTCAGGAAGTGAATGAAGATACTGCAGGTCCCATTGTCCATGGTCCATTCTCCTCCAAACCACACCAGGATGTAGAGTTGGGCATGGGGGAACTGTGCTCCAAGTTTGGTCTTGATCATTCATAGGTGTGGGTTGCAGTGGTCTCTGGCAGTTAGTGAAGGTCCTGCGAGTCCCATCATCCATGATCCATAGTCTCCCAGTCCGCCCCAGGACATAAAGTGGTTCATGGGGGCTTCTTTGTGCCGGGTTTGGTCCTCATCCGTCATTGGTTTGAGTCGCAGTGGTCTCAGGAAGTTAGTGAAGGTACTGCGAGTCCCATCATCCATGATCCGTAGTCCCCAAATCCGCACCAGGACATAAAGTGGTTCATGGGGGCTCTTTGTGCTGGATTTGGTCCTCATCCATCATTGCTTTGGGTTGTAGTGGTCTCAGGAAGATAGTGAAGGTACTTTGAGTCCCATCATCCATGGTCCGTAGTCCCCCATCACACCAGGACATAAAGTGGTTCATGGGGGCTCTTTGTGCCAGTTTGGTCCTCATCCGTCATTGATTTGGGATGCAGTGGTCTCAGGAAGTTAGTGAAGGTACTGTGAGTCCCATCATCCATGGTCCATCCTCCTCCAAACCTCACTAGGATATAGAGTGGGTCAAGAGGGATCTGTCGTCCAAGTTTGGTCTTGAACTGTCATTGGTGAGGGTTGTAGTAGTTTCAGGAAGGGAGTGAAGGCACTACAAGTCCCATCATCCTTTGTCTGCCCTCCTCTAAAACCACACCAAGATGTAAAGTGGGTTATCGGGAGTCTGTGTGCCAAGTTTGGTCCAGGTCTGTGATTTGTGAGGGATGCAGTGTTCTGTGGGAGGCGAATCAGGTGAAGGTACTGTAAATTCCATCGTCCATGGTCTACCCTCCCCCAAACTTCATCAAGGAGTGAGGTGTTTCGGCGAGGGGGAGGGTTGTGTTCCAAGTTTGATTTTGATCAGTCATTGGTGTGCAAGTTAGAGCGAGGCATGGAAGTGACCGTTGTGTTTGCATTCGTGTGCTATACTTAAGTATTATTGTTGTTGTTGTTGTTGTGTTTGCATTCATGTTTCCTGCTGCGTCCTTTCCTTTAGGGGCCCGAACCCCAGCAAGCTCATCCAGCAGCTGCTGACCCTCCGGCCGGAGCAGCAACTGAGCATCTTCAACACGCTGAAGGCCCACTTGGTGGACGAGGGGGTCCTGGCCGCACCCGAGGAAGCCTGAGCAGCCATGGAAGCCAGCCAACTGGCCACAGCCAGCGCCACCGCCAGCCCAATGGGACCGACCCTCTCTCCCATCGTCCCCAGCAGACCCTTCCTCAGCTTGCCTGGCTTAGGACAGTCACCAGCCAGCTGCTCCCGCGTCTTCCCTTTTTTCCCACTCAAGAAAAAGGTTCTTTCCAAACCATCCGTTTCTCCACCTGGCATCCGGTCGCAGAGGAAAGACAGCAGGGTTGAGTACTGTAGGGCCCATCGTCCCCAAGCAAGAGTGGGTGTCTCCTCCTCTTGTGTTTGTATCTAAGAAGCCACATCTCTTTCTTTTCCTTTATAATCGAAGGAGGTGGATCTCCGACTCTTTATTTTGGAGCGTGTAGGTCTGCAAAAGGACCGCAACTCCCATCGTCCCCACGTCACTGAGCGGCCAAAGCAGAGCAAAATTTCATTTGACGCTTTTTGCCGCGTCTTGGGGTTCAAAGCCGGCATTTCGTTTTGCCCCTTGCAGAGCATATGCTCCCCATTGCTTCCGGAGTGAGACAATCCAGGAGATTGACAGCTGTCAGTCAAGGAAAAACTCAATGCTGTTTAGTTCTTACAGCGCATCAGATCCCCCAGCAAGGTTAGGGAAATGTTCCAGGAGATGGACGGCTGTCAATCAATCAAAAATTAATGGATTTGATCTCTGACTGAGTCAGTGCAGAGGTCCAGGGGATTGACAGCTGTCAGTCAAGGAAAAAAATCAATGCTGTTTGGCCCTTACAGCGCATCAGATCCCCCAGCAACGTTAGGGAAATGTTCCAGGAGATGGACAGCTGTCAATCAACAAAAAATGAATAGATTTGGCCTCTGACAGTGCAGAGGTCCAGGGGATTGACAGCTGTCAATCAAGCAAAATTCATTGGCTGTTGATATGCTCTTTGAGCCTAAACTCCATGAGTATGCTTAGTGCAAAGGTCTGGGAGATGGACAGCTGTCAATCAAAAATTAATGGATTTGGCCTTTGGTGTTCAAAGTTTTCCCAACATGGTCAGTGCAAAGGTCTGGGAGATTGGCAGCTGTCAATCAAGCAAAAATCAATGGCCATGCTATTTGCGTCTTCACGGAACGTATGTCCTCCTCAGTATGATTAGTTAGTGCAAAGCTCTGGGAGATTGGCAGCTGTCAATCAAGCAAATATCAATGGCCATGCTATTTGCGTCTTCACGGAGCATATGCCCTCCTCAGTGTGATTAGTTACTGTAAAGGTCTGGGAGATTGGCAGCTGTCAGTCAAGCAAAAAACCCAATGTTATTTGCTTCTTGCGGGACATAAACTCCCCATCGCCTCGTGAGTCAGATAATTGACAGCTGTCAGTCAAGTCACATCCTATTGCTGCTGGCATACTACCATTTTAAAAACACTTGTTGCATTTAATGCGGTTTGACACTACTTCTACAGCTCAGTGCTATGGGATCATGGGTGAGAAAAGTTTGGTGAGAAAAGGCCGAAGACCTTGGGAAACTACAGCTCCCAAGCTCCCATAGCATTGAGCTATGGAAGTAGTGCCAAACCGCATTCATTCTGCAGTGTAGATGCACCGAGCGACAGTAATATAGAGTGCAGGACACACAATTTTCTCTTTCTCTCTATCCGTATATATATATATATCGATCGATCTCTATATCTCCCAACACACTTTGTGCCACTGTGTTCTTCTTCTCTTCCTCCTTGACATTCGGCGTATTCGTTCCAAGCCAAACCGCCCGCTTCTTTCTCTGTGCGTTGTCTTGGGTTTATTTTTTTTATGTTTATGACTTTTTCTTTCCTCCTGTTCCCGTTACGGCAAAGATACGCAATAGTCTTGCCTGCCTCCTCCGGGTTTGGTTCTATTGTTTTGACTGTCAGAATGTGAAATATTGTACAAAGGTATTTTACCCTATTTATATACTGTAATGTTATGGTTCAATAAAAAATGTCCCGACAAGAAAAAGAGTTTGGAGTGAGCGCCGTTCTTCCAGCTTTCTTCTCTGGAGGTGGGGTGGCCATCTGTCAGGAGGGCTCGGGTGGTGCCTCCCATTATCTTAGATTGGGGCCAGACTGGGTGGCCTCTAGAGGTCCCTTTCAAGTCAAATAGTATTGCTGCCTTGACAAACTACAACTCCCAAGATCCGGTAGTAGTGTTTAAAATGGGTTTGGGCAAACTTGGGCCCTCTAGATGTTTTGGACTCCAACCCACCAATGCCTAGCAGCCTCAGGCCCTTTCCTTTTCCCCCCTCAGCCGCTTACGCGGCTGAGGGGGGAAAGGAAGGGGCCTGAGGCTGCTAGGAATTGTGGGAGTTGGAGTCCAAAACACCTGGAGGGCTCAAGTTTGCCCATACCTGGTTTAAACTGTTAGAGCATGCAAGAAATCAGTATGTGTGTGTGTCAACTACAAAATAAGATGGATGAAGCTGATTGGTTAGGCTACATCCCGAGGTGATGGCTGAGCCTGGGACTTTTGGGTACTGTTACATTTTTCAGGCTTGAGTTGTGTTCAGAAGCACAGAGAGACAAAGCTTGAAGTGGGTCTCGCTTCATGAGCTGCACCCTGGGTGATGGCTCAGCCTGGGACTTTGGGGTACTGTTACATTTTTCATGCTTGAGTTGTGTTCAGAAGCACAGAGAGACAAAGTTTGAAGTGGGTCTCGCTTCATGAGCTGCACCCTGAGTGATGGCTAAGCCTGGGACTTTTGGGTACAGTTACATTTTTCAGGCTTGAGCTGTGTTCAGAAGCTCAGGGAGACAAAGTTTGAAGTGGGTCTCGCTTCATGAGCTGCACCCTGGGTGATGGCTGAGCCTGGGACTTTTGGGTACTGTTACATTTTTCATGCTTGAGCTGTGTTCAGAAGCAAAGAGAGACAGAGTTTGAAGTGGGTCTCACTTCATGAGCTGCACCCTGGGTGATGGCTGAGCCTGGGACTTTTGGGTACTGCTACATTTTTCATGCTTGAGTTGTGTTCAGAAGCACAAAGTTTGAAGTGGGTCTCGCTTCATGAGCTGCACCCTGGGTGATGGCTCAGCCTGGGACTTTGGGGTACTGTTACATTTTTCATGCTTGAGTTGTGTTCAGAAGCACAGAGAGACAAAGTTTGAAGTGGGTCTCGCTTCATGAGCTGCACCCTGAGTGATGGCTAAGCCTGGGACTTTTGGGTACAGTTACATTTTTCAGGCTTGAGCTGTGTTCAGAAGCTCAGGGAGACAAAGTTTGAAGTGGGTCTCGCTTCATGAGCTGCACCCTGGGTGATGGCTGAGCCTGGGACTTTTGGGTACTGTTACATTTTTCATGCTTGAGCTGTGTTCAGAAGCAAAGAGAGACAGAGTTTGAAGTGGGTCTCACTTCATGAGCTGCACCCTGGGTGATGGCTGAGCCTGGGACTTTTGGGTACTGCTACATTTTTCATGCTTGAGTTGTGTTCAGAAGCACAGAGAGACAGAGTTTGAAGTGGGTCTCACTTCATGAGCTGCACCCTGGGTGATGGCTGAGCCTGGGACTTTTGGGTACTGTTACATTTTTCATGCTTGAGTTGTGTTCAGAAGCACAGAGAGACAGAGTTTGAAGTGGGTCTCACTTCATGAGCTGCACCCTGGGTGATGGCTGAGCCTGGGACTTTTGGGTACTGTTACATTTTTCATGCTTGAGTTGTGTTCAGAAGCACAGAGAGACAGAGTTTGAAGTGGGTCTCACTTCATGAGCTGCACCCTGGGTGATGGCTGAGCCTGGGACTTTTGGGTACTGCTACATTTTTCATGCTTGAGTTGTGTTCAGAAGCACAGAGAGACAGAGTTTGAAGTGGGTCTCACTTCATGAGCTGCACCCTGGGTGATGGCTGAGCCTGGGACTTTTGGGTACTGTTACATTTTTCATGCTTGAGTTGTGTTCAGAAGCAAAGAGAGACAAAGTTTGAAGTGTGCTCTCGCTTCATGAGCTGCTGAAGGAGTTTATCGACATAAAGACATTAAGTGAGTCGATGCAACTGATCACATGGTTGTAAATATGTTCTGAATTACGAAGAGTAAACTACTTGTTCCTTATTGTTCACCTGCGTCACGGTGGCGCAGTGGGTTAAACCCTTGTGCCTGCCGGACTGAAGACCAACAGGTTGCAGGTTCGAATCCGGGGGGAGCGTGGATGAGCTCCCTCTATCAGCTCCAGCTCCTCATGCGGAGACATGAGAGAAGCCTAAAACATCACAACATCTGGGCGTCCCCTGGGCAACGTCCTTCCAGACGGCCAATTCTCTCACACCAGAAGCAGTTTCTCAAGTCGCTTCTGACACGTCCCAAAAAGACCCTGCGTAGCATATTTTCTTTCTCTGGCAAGGTAGTGTGTGGGCTGATCAGACGTGATCTACACATGATTTTCATGTTGTCATATAAACTACATTTAATCTCATAGTCTCATGCAATTTGACTCCCCTGTTTAATCTGCCTATGGGATCCTGGGAGCTGTAGTTTGCTGAGGAACCCACACTCGTCCTCAAGGAAGGCTATAGAGACCTTGCAAAACTACAACTCCCAGGGTTCCCTTGAGTCAGAGCAGTTCAAGTGTCACCAAGACGCATTCATTTTACAGCATAGACGCACTCCACGAAATTAAATACTCACAAATCCTGTGCCGCTGTCCCACTTTCTCTGCTGCCTTTAAAATGTCCCAGTTCCTGCCTCATCCTCTGCTTTGTTTCAGTTGCAGCAAAGAGCTAAATCAGTGCCACAAATGGTGTCACAAATGGTCACCCGGGGTGATGGCTGAGCCTGGGACTTTTGGATACTGTTACATTCATCGGTGTCACAAATGGTAGGTGAAGGGACAGCTCCCCTGGTGGCCAGAATACCCTCAAGAAAAGCTGGAATGCTAAATTGCCTCTGTGTCTGTCTATACATGTTGTGTGTCTATGGCATTGAATGTTTGCCATGTATATGTACATTGTAATCCACCCTGAGTCCCATGCGGGGTGAGAAGGGCGCAATATAAATACTGTAAATAAATATAAATACTATAAATAAATAAATAAATAAATTTGCAGGGTAGATAGAATGAATTGCAGTTTGGTGCCACTTTTAACCATTCAACGCAGTGGAATCCCGGCAGTTGTAGTTTTGCAAGGTCTTTCGCCTTGTAAAGATTTTGAAGCGAATGCAGCTTGGTGCTATATTTTCTGCAATGGCTCCGTGCAATAAACTCCCGGGAGTTGTCGTTTTTCTAGGATTCTATGAGTCTATATAAATACTATAAATAATTTGCAGGGTAGATAGAATGAATTGCAGTTTGGTGCCTCTTTTAACCATTCAATGCGGTGGAGTTGTAGTTTTACAAGGTCTTTGTAAAGATTTTCAAGCAAATTCAGCTTAGCGCTATATTCTCTGCAATGGCTTGGTGCAATAGACTCCCGGGAGTTGTAGTTGTTGCCAGGGCCTTGCCCTTTGGTAAGTTGCACCTACACTTCCGAATGAATGCAGCTTGGCATAGTGCATGCTATGGATTCCCAGGAGTTGTAGTTTTACAAGAGTCTTAGTTTGGGGCTAAACGAATGCATTTTTGGCACCATGTTCATTGCAATGGCTCAGTGTGATGGGATCCTGGAAGTTACCGTTTGCACTCTTTTGGGCTTAAGACCTTTGGGAAACTACAACTCCCAGCATCCCACAGCATTAAACTGCATTTGTTCCGCAGTGTGGGACTGGAAATCCCAAAAGACCTCTCTGCTGTTTGTCACCCGTTTCCTGAAATGGCTTTTTTTTTTTGCTTTTTGTGCCTTTGCAACCACATCGTCTGCACCCACTTCCTCATGCGCTGAGCACTGGGCCTTGCGTCTTTTCCTTTTTTGCACAAATCTGCACCTTTTCATTTGCCAAAATCTGCCCCACAAGGCCATGGAGATCTATAGATCCCAAGTGGGGGACTAAAGGGAGTCTTAGAAAAGTCTGAGAAAAATAAATCTGGAAAGAAGATTGGAACGATTAAAAGAAGAACTGCTTTTCTATGGTTTCCTGACACGCCAAGGAGGAAGTGGTTGTCAAACTTCGCCTTTTCCCACCCCAAAAATAATGCGTTTTTGAATATATAATCATCCATTTTTCCATCAAGAAAAGGGTTCCAGATTCGTATTTGGCTGCGCGGGCCTTGTGGCCGGAGGTGGACTATGTCTCTCAAGCTGCCACGGAGCTGGGATTTCGGCCTGCGAATGGACAAAATGGGTATGTGTGGTGCATTCATTGACATTGATTTGTTGTTGTTGTTCATTTGTTCAGTCGTTTACGACTCTTCGTGACTTCATGAGGAAGAACTTCCTGACTGTGAGAGCCATTCAGCAGTGGAACTCTCTGCCCTGGAGTGTGGTGGAGGCTCCTTCTTTGGAAGCTTTTAAACAGAGGCTGGATGGCCATCTGTCAAGGGTGATTTGAATGCAAAATTCCTGCTTCTTGGCAGGGGGTTGGACTGGATGGCCCATGAGGTCTCTTCCAACTCTTTGATTCTATGATTCATGGACCAGCCCATGCCAGAGCTCCCTGTCGGTCATCACCACCCCCAGCTCCTTCAAGGTCAATTCAGTCACTTCAAAGATACCATCCATCCATCTTGATTTATTATTTCCCATTTTTTATTTATTTATTTATTATTTTTATTATAAATATTTATTTATTTATTATTTTTATTAATTTATTATTTTTATTTATATTTATTTATTATTTATTATTATTATTATTATTTCCCTTTTATTCGGAGCACTTTCATCTTCCCAGCTCCATTAAAAGCAACAAATCTTCCTTGGAATGAGCTTTGGGAGAGGATATTCATTGGCAAGTCCAAAGGGAAAGGTTTTCCCCTTGAAATCCAGTCGTATCCGACTCTTGGAGTTGGTGCTCATCTCTAAGCCAAAGAGCCGCCGTTGTCCATAGACACCTCCAAGGTCAAGTGGCTGGCATGACTGCATGGAGTGCAAGTGCAAATCTTGGCCCAATTCAACACTTGCTATGGGTGCAGCCACACTGCAAAATTAATCCGATTTGATGCCGCTTTAAACTGCTACACGTAGAATCCTAGGAGTTGCACTTTTGCAAAGTCTTCTTTCAATTCTGCACCGGGATTGTGGCGCAGCTGGCTGAGTGTCAGCTGCATTAAGATCACTCTGACCAAAAGGTCATGAGTTCGAAGCCAGCCCGGGTTGGAGTGGGTTTCCAACTAATTGTGTATAGCCTGTTGTCGACCTTTGCAACCCGAAAGACAGTTGCATCTGTCAAATAGGAAAATAAGGTACCACCTGAAAGTGTGGGAAGGCTAAATTAACAGATTTATGAGGCCATAAAGAAGACTCCAGCAAAGCATTCCAGCGGGGAAGCATGCGGGGAATGCGGAAGTGCTTCATCAGTGTCACAGATGGACGAGGAAAGCGACAGCTTCCCTGGTGGCCAGAAAAAGTTAAATAGCTTCCGTGTATGTCTGTATATGTTGTATGTTAAAATTGGCATTGAATGTTTGCCATATATGTATACACTAATCCGCCCTGAGTCCTCTGCGGGGTGAGAAGGGTGGAATATAAAAGCTATACATACATACATACATACATACATACATACATACATACATACTGTGTAGATGCATTCTATTCTGCCTTTTTTTGCACCATATTCACTTACTAGGCATAGGCTCTTTGTGTTTAGAAGTTCTTTTTGAATATTTATATTTTGTAGGCTTGTAATTGCATTGTTTTTAACGTTGTAAGCTGCTTTGGGGCTTGATGCAGAGAAGGAGGCCGGGGAACAACAACAACATGATATCAGCTGCAGAGATAGTGGTGATCGGCACACTGGGTGCAGTGCCTAAAGACCTTGACCTGCACTTAAACACAATCAGCACTGACAAGATTACCATCTGCCAGCTGCAGAAGGCCACCTTACTGGGATCTGCACGAATTGTTTGCTGATACATCACACAATCCTAGACACTTGGGAAGTGTCCGACGTGTGATCCAATGCAACAGCCAGCAGAGTGATCTTGCCTGCTGTGGACTCATCTTGTTGTGTTAATAATAATAATAATAATAATAATAATAATAATAATAATAATAATAATAATAGCAACAATAATAATAATGATGGTGATGGTGATGGTGATGGTGATGTATACTTACTTAAGCGATCCCTCATGGCCTGAGGATGATGGTCCTCCAAGTCTGGTGGCTGGTTTGTGGGTCCATCAGTGGCTGTGGAGCCCTATTCTTGATTCACATGTTCTCCCACAGTGAGGACATCAATTTCCAGGTGGAAGGAAGTCCTAGTCAGGGTTGGCTTGATATGCCTTCTCTCACTCAATACAGAGAGGGAATAATAATAATGATAATAATAGCTTTGGGTCTTGATCCAAAGAGGGAAGCACAATAATAATATTAATATTTGTTATTTATTATTTTATTATTATTATTATTTGTAATAATAATAATAATAATAATAATAAATAACAACAACATGATGATGATAGCTGCTTGAGGTCTCAATGCAGAGATGAAATAATAATAATAATAATAATAATAATAATAATAATAATAATAATAATAATGAGGATTTGAGGATTTAAAAATCCGAACTGCAAAGACTCTGGCACAAACCAGTAAAGGTAGTCCCAGTGGTGATTGGCACACTGGGTGCAGTGCCTAAAGACCTTGGCCTGCACTTAAACACAATAGGCGCTGACAACATTGCTAGAATACCATCTGCCAGCTGCAGAAGGCCATCTTACTGGGATCTGCATGCATTATTCGTCGATACATCACACAGTCCTAGACACTTGGGAAGTGTCCGACGAGTGATCCAGTACAACAGCCAGCAGAGTGCTGTGGACTCATCTTGTTGTGTTTCAAATAGTAATAGTAGTAATATGATTGGGGTCTCAATGCAGAGATGAAATAATAATAATAATAATAATAATAATAATAATAATAATAATAATAATCACACAGTCCTAGACGCTTGGGAAGTGCTCGACTTGTAATTTTGTGATATGAAGTCCATCATATAGACCTCGTTTGCTGTGACATACTGTGCTTTTGTGTTAGAATAATAATAATAATAATAATAATAATAATAATAATAATAATCAGAAGGAGGAGGAGAAGAAGCAGAAGCAGCAGAAGATGATGATCATGATCATGATCATGATGGGGGTGTCAATGCAGAGAGGACAAAACAAAGGTTTTTTTAAAAATGTGAAAATAATCAAAAACACTTTTCCCACCTCCAAATGGATTTCCTTCTGAAATCTGAGACATATTTATGTTTATTTTTATTTACAGTATGTCAATAAAATGACACTTTTCAACTCTTAACTCCCAAAGAGTTACGGTGGAATTAACACAGTTTGGCACCATTTTTGACCTCCATGGCTCAATGCTATGACATATTGTGATTTTGCAAGCTCTTTAGCTTCTTTTTGCCACTACAACTAGTGCGAACAACTCCCAGGGTCCCTTTGCATTGAGCCGAGGCAATTGAACTGCATTAATCCCACATTGTGATATAACCAAAGTTTTGCTGTGGTTTTTAACTTTGACTATGTTGTCGTGGATTTTAACTGTGAATTTCGTAATACTGATTCTATTTAATCTTGCCTTAACGTCTGCATATTTGCACATGAAAGCAGAATTAAATATAATCAGTATTAAGAAATTTACAATAATAATAATAATAATAATAATAATAATAATAATAATAATAATAATAGGTAAAGGTAGTCCCCTGACATTAAGTCCAGTCATGTCTGACTCTGGAGTGTGGTGCTCATCTCCATTTCTAAGCCGAAGAGCCAGCGTTGTCTGTAGACACCTCGAAGGTCATGTGGCCGGCATGACTGCATGGAGCGCCGTTAATAATAATAATAATAGCTACCTCTAATAAGTGATTTTGTTTTCTTTTCGCCTTTTGCAAACGCCTTCCGCCCCCGCAGGGAAAAGGAAGTCCCATTGCAACCAAATCTCTGCGATCATTTCCTTTTGTTCACAAATAGCTTGCTGCATTTAAGAGATTGTCATCTTATTCTCACCAAAAAAATTATCCTCATTTGCTTGGGGTAGTATTACTCCTTGCGAGGAGGTGGGCCTGGGCTGCATGGATCTGCATTGCATTGCATTGCAAAGCGTCCCAACTTTGCAAAGGACTTTTGGGGTAACATTCTCCCCTGCAAGGTGGGCCTGGGCTGCATTGGTTTCCACTGCATTGCATGATGCCCCAACTTTGCACAGGGCTTTTGGGGGGAATATTCCTCACTGTGAGGTGGGCCTGGTCTGCCTGGGTCTGCATTGCATTGCAAAGCACCCCAACTTTGCAAAGGTGGGCCTGATTTGCATGAGTTTCCTGCCTGGGCCTACATTGCATTGCAAAGCACCCCAACTTTTCAGAGGGCTTTTGGGGCTAACTTTCCTGCCTTCCCCCCTGCAGTGCGGTCCCAGAGTGTGATGGCGCTAGAGGCAAAGGGCCCTGTGGCTCCGGGGCCCCTGAAGGCTGGCTGGCTGAAGAAGCAGCGCTCCATCGTCCGGAACTGGCAGCAGCGCTACTTCGTTCTCCAAGGGCAGCGCCTCTACTACTTCAAGGACGAGGATGATCTCAAGCCCCAGGTAGGACCCCAGAGCTAGTGTCCATACAGGAGAGATAACCCAGTTTCAAACCACTCCCAACTGCCACAGTGCCAAGCTATGTTGGCATCATAAGAGAGAGCCTTCTCGGCTAAAGAGGGAAACGATAGACGTATAGACCTAGATATAGATATTGATGTTTATAGACCTATAGCTATCCGCTGGATAATGGAGAAAGGCAGGGAGTTTCAGAAAAACATCTATTTCTGCTTCATTGACTATTCTAAAGCCTTTGACTGTGTGGATCATAATAAATTGTGGCAAGTTCTTGGTGGGATGGGCATACCAAGCCACCTTGTCTCTCTCCTGAGGAATCTGTACAAGGACCAAGTAGCAACAGTCAGAACTGACCACGGAACAACAGACTGGTTCAAGATTGGGAAAGGAGTACGGCAAGGCTGCATACTCTCACCCAACCTTTTTAACTTGTATGCAGAACACATCATGCGATGTGCGGGGCTGGATGAATGCAAAGCTGGGGTGAAAATGCTGGAAGAAACATTAACAACCTCAGATATGCAGATGACACCACTCTGATGGCCGAAAGCGAGGAGGAGCTGAGGAGCCTTCTAATCAAGGTGAAAGAAGAAAGCGCAAAAGCCGGGTTGCAGCTAAACATCAAAAAAACCAAGATTATGGCAACAAGAATGATTGACAGCTGGGAAATAGAGGGAGAAAATGTGGAGGCCGTGACAGACTTTGTATTTCTAGGTGCAAAGATGACTGCAGATGCAGGCTGTGTCCAGGAAATCAGAAGACGCTTCCTTCTTGGGAGGAGAGCAATGTCCAATCTTGATAAAATCGTAAAGAGTAGAGACATCACACCGGCAATGAAGATCCGCCTAGTCAAAGCCATGGTATTCCCTGTAGTCACCTACGGATGTGAGAGCTGGACCTTAGGGAAGGCTGAGCGAAGGAAGAGAGATGCTTTTGAGATGTGGTGTTGGAGGAAAGTGCTGAGAGTGCCTTGGACTGTGAGAAGATCCAACCAGTCCATCCTCCAGGAAATAAAGCCCGGCTGCTCACTGGAGGGAAGGATACTAGAGACAAAGTTGAAGTACTTTGGCCACATCATGAGGAGACAGCAAAGCCTAGAGAAGACAATGATGCTGGGGAAAGTGGAAGGAAAAAGGAAGAGGGGGCGACCAAGAGCAAGATCGATGGATGGCATCCTTGAAGTGACTGGACTGACCTTGAAGGAGCTGGGGGTGGTGACGGGCGACAGGGAGCTCTGGCGTGGGCTGGTCCATGAAGTCACGAAGAGTCGGAGACGACTGAACGAATGAACAACAAATAGCTATTTATTTATTTATTTATTTATTTATTTACTTTATTTGTATACCGCTCTTCTCAGCCATTAGGCGACTCAGAGCGGTTAACAACAAACAGCGGCAAAAATTCAATGCAAACATCATACAAACCATTTAAAAAACAATTAACACAATAATACACTAAGCAATTAACATCAATAACCATCAATAAACATCAATAAACAACTCACTAGCGTCTCATAACTAAAATCATAATCCAAGCCCGTCATCCGTTGTTCCGATTTCCTATAATTCATTGTAATTCATTGCACTGCCTATTCAAATGCCTGTTCAAATAACCAGGTTTTCACTTTCTTCGGAAATGCCATTAATGAGGGAGCTGATCTGATGTCTGTGGGTAGGGCGTTCCACAGCCGAGGGGCCACCACCGAGAAGGCCCTGTCCCTCGTCCCCGCCAACCGTTCCTGAGTTGCAGGCGGGATCGAGAGCAGGGCCCTCCCAGAAGATCTTAAAGTCCTAGTGGGTTCATAGGCGGAGATGCGTTCGGATAGGTAACTTGGGCCAGAACCGTTTAAGGCTTTATAGGCCAACGCCAGCACTTTGAATTGTGCCCGGTAGCAAATTGGCAGCCAGTGGAGCTGGCGCAACAGAGGATTTGTATGCTCCCTGAGTGCCGCTCCTGTTAGTATCATGGCTGCCAAGCGTTGAACCAGTTGAAGCTTCCGAGCAGTCTTCAAAGGCAACCCCATGTAGAGAGCGTTGCAGTAGTCTAAACGGGATGTAACTAGAGCGTATTGATAGACATATAGATATAGACCAGTGTTTCTCAACCTTCCTAATGCCGCGACCCCTTAATACAGTTCCTCATGCTGTGGTGACGCCCAACCATAACATTCTTTTGCTACTTCATAACTGTAATGTTGCTCCTGTTATGAAACATAATTTGGAAGTTGTAGTTGTTGGGATTTATGGTTCACCTACAATCAAAGAGTATTCTGAACTCCACCAACGATGGAATTGAATCAAACTTGGCACACAGAATGCCCACGACCAACAGAAAACACTGGAAGGGTTTGGTGGGCATTGACCTTGAGTTTGGGAGTTGTAGTTCACCTACAGAGAGCACTATGGACTCAAACAATGATGGATCTGGACCAAACTTGGCACGAATGCTCAGTATGATAACGTGAATACTGGTGGAGTGTGAGGAAAATAGGCCTTGACATTTGGGAGTTGTAGTTGTTGGGATTTATAGTTCACCTACAATCAAAAAGCATTCTGAACCCCACCAATGATAGAATTGGGCCAAACCTCCCACACAGAACCCCCATGACCAACAGAAAATACTGTGTTTTCTGGTGGTCTTTGGTGACCGCTCAGGCACCTCCTGGCGACCCCTCCAGGGTCCCGACCCCCAGATTGAGAAACACTGATATAGACAATTATTGATATAAATAGACATAGAGATAGACATAGATATATAACAGATATAGATATAGAGAGATAATTGATATTTATATAAATAGACATAGAGATAGACATAGAGTTATAAACAGATATTGATAGACATTGACATATAAAGATGATACCGATATAGATATAGACTGATATTGATATAGACAAAGACATCAATATTGACATAGATATAGATATAGAGACAGATAGATGTGTTTGTCTATATCAGTATCAGTCTATATCTATATTGATATCATCTTTATAGATGTGTTTGTGTATAATGTATGTATGTGTGTATATATATGTCTGTGTATCTCTTATGTGTGTGTGTGTGGATATATATGTGTATGCGGATCACAGGTATATGCTGTATGGCTGTCCAAAACCCAAGCAGGGTCAATCTACACTATCAAATTAAAGCAGTTTGGCGCCAGTCTGATCTGCCACAACTCCCAGGGTTTTGTATGCATGGAGTCATGCCAGATCGAGTGGGATCAAACTGCATTCATTCCATGGCATAGATGTGCCACTCCTCCCCAATTAAAACATTTTGCAATGGACTGTTCCAGTGTTGAGCTTGCACTGGCTGAATCAGTGGTGGTTTCCCCCACATTTTGCAAACAGCTTGTGGGTCGTCGGTGCACTGTCCCACGCATGGTGTCGGCAGCACTGCAAGTTGTGTCGGGTTGCATGGATTTGGCCTGTGCTTCTGCTTTTTTTCCTCTCCTAAATGGTTCTTTTCGCCTGGTCATGCGCCTCTGATGCAATGTTCGGTGATAAGATTTTTTCATCTGTTTATTTATTTATTTACTTTGCTTATATACCGCTGTATCTCAAGCCCGAAGGCGACTCACGGCGGTTCACAAACAGTAAAAACAGTAGAAACAGCAGTGGTTCCATACAACATATAACAATTGACTTAACACATTATCCATAAATTACCAATAAGCAGTTACAATGCACAATTATTACAAAAAACAACCGTACCCAATCTTCTCATCATCCAAGCGTAGTCCAGGTTCGTCGTCCATTGTTCCATTCCTATGTTCCATTACCAGATTGCACTAAATTACTCAAACGCCTGCACAAACATCCAGGTCTTCACCTTTTTGCGGAATACCATTAGAGATGGTGCTAGTCTAATGTCCGTAGGAAGGGCGTTCCACAGCCGAGGAGCCACCACCGAGAAGGCCCTATCTCTCATCCCCGCCAGCCGAGCTTGAGAAGCAGGCGGGATCGAGAGCAGGGTCTCCCCGGAAGATCTCAAACTCCTGGTGGGTTCATAGGCAGAGATGCGGTCAGATAGGTAGCTTGGGCCGGAACCGTTTAGGGCTTTAAAGGCCAACGCCAGCACTTTGAATTCAGCCCGGTAGCAGATCGGTAGCCAGTGGAGTTGGCGCAACAGGGGGGTTGTATGCTCCCTGCGCTCCGCTCCTGTTAAAATCATGGCTGCCGAGCGTTGGACTAGTTGGAGCTTCCGAGCTGTCTTCAAAGGCAACCCCACGTAGAGAGCGTTGCAGTAGTCTAAACGGGATGTAACCAGAGCGTGGACTACCGTGGCCAAGTCAGACTTCCCAAGGTACGGGCGCAGCTGGCGCACAAGCTTTAGCTGTGCAAATGCTCCCCTGGTCACCGCCGAAACCTGGGGTTCCAGGCTCAGCGATGAGTCCAGGGTCACACCCAAGCTGCGAACCTGCATCTTCAGGGGGAGTGCGGCCCCATCCAACACAGGCTGTAACCCTATGCCCTGTTCGGCCTTGCGACTGACCAGGAGTACCTCTGTCTTGTCTGGATTCAATTTCAATTTGTTCGCCCTCATCCAGACTGTCACAGCGGCCAGGCACCGGTTCAGGACCTGGACAGCCTCCTTAGTAGCAGGTGGAAAGGAGTGACAGAGTTGGACATCATCTGCGTACAGATGACACCGTACCCCGAAACTCCGGATGATCTCCCCAGCGGCTTCATGTAGATGTTAAACAACATGGGAGACAATATTGAGCCCTGAGGAACCCCACAAGACAATGGTTGTGGGGTTGAACAGGTGTCCCCCAACAACACCTTCTGAGATCGACCCTCCAGGAATGACCGGAGCCACTGCAAAACAGTACCTCCAAGACCCATCCCTGCGAGGCGTCCCAGAAGGATACCATTTGGTAGCTCCTTTGGAGTCAAAAGCTATATATCTATATTTAAGTCTATGTCTATCTATATAATAATAATAATAATAATAATAATAATAATAATACTTTATTTGTA